TTGGAACACTAAGAACTTAAGTGATTTACCTGCTATTTTATGAACTGAATTCTATTACTATTACTGTATTATCACCAGAGTTTCTTTCCTTATAAACTTACTAACATATATTACATAACACTCCAGAGACTTAAAAAGCTTTAAATTCATAAATCTTATTTTAATAAAATATCTAATGTCCTAGAAATTTTAACAGGCTGTTTTAATGATACTTAATGATATTGTTGTATTTTCCTTGTAGAGGAAACAACTTGAATAAAACCGACTTAATATATGAGCTCTATAGTACAAAAATCTGTGCACCTTGTTAAGTACCTAATAAAGATTGACTGATAGTGAATTGAGGCATAGCCACCAGCTGTTTAGTTGGTTGAGCACTTACCTTTAGTGAAGGAAAAACGAAATGAAAACAATCTCTGCTGAGATGAAAGTACATCTTATCCCCCCCAAATTGTAATACTTTGTTAACGTTATATAAAAAGTTTCCCATTGAAGAAGTGAAATGGCGGTGGAAGTTTCCTATCATCTAAGCAATACTCTAAATAATATGAAGGAAAACCACAGACATTACATTTAGACAAACTTTGTAAGATATTTTGTTAATGTTGAAATAACATTTAGAAATCAACTCTTTAAAATTAGTACTACCCAGCAGTTTTAATGGCACTTCCTCCAAAACCTTGCAAATCTTAAGAACTTTTTCCCGATAAACTGATTTTAGCATAAAATTATAATATGTTTTAAGAGACTGTGGTTATTTTTAAAAAGCTGTTTGAAAAATATCAATAAAGCAGATGGATTTTATCAGGTAAACATCTCCCTGCCCTCAACACACACACACACACACACACACACACCCCTTTCTATTATAGGATCATAGACGGAAGAGATGAATGTGAAATGATATGGACAAAGGGGCCATAGGGAGCCAACTGGACCTCCATCCTACCCTGAATGCCACTCCACAAGAAGGGTACTCTTCTTTAAGAAGTTTCTCTGCTTGTGCAATTCTTACCACTCTTTCCCCTCTGCTAGTCCTGTTTGTCCAGTCTTTGCTGTCTTACTCTATTTTTGCTAAACATAGTCTTCATCTTTCTTTACAGTCCTTCCCTACCCACTTATCTCTCCCACTATAAGTCCCAGAAAAGCTGAATGTGTGGGAAAATGGGAGAAGAAACTCTAGCTGCTGGCATGTATGAGTTGGTAGGCTTTTTTGGAGTTACGGAATTGGACATACATGTTTGGGAGCAGTGTATGGATGTATTCCTGGTATCTCCAATGTGAATTTAAAGCATCTTACAGAAATAATATTTGGTTCTCTAGTGTTGCAGTTTGATCCTGCTAAGGATTGTTAAATAGACTAAGAGTTAAATAGACTTGGGAAACTTATTTACCCACTATAACATTGTTTCTGTGGGAAAACTACCAATTTTCAAACAACTTGACTTAGAATTAAACTCCAGTAATTCAATCTCTCCGTAAGTTAGGGATTGCTTATTTTAGTGCTTATTTGTTTATTTCTTTGGGTGTATGACAACTGAGGGAGCACTCTGAGTTGTCAGTCAGTTCCAACAATTCCTTATTGACACTGGACGTATAAAATTCATAGTTCAGGTTTTGTGCGGCATCATAAGGTTAGTTGCAAAAAAGTGAAGGCTAGCTTAAGCCAATATGGGATTTAAAATTGGATCTCAGTTACACTGTGGGTTTGGTTTGTGGCTTTGTTTTTATTTTATTTTTTGAAGAGTTCACTGTGTTCATGCATCTTACCTTTTTAATAGGTCACGTACTGTTCATAGTATGACTTGGAACAGAATCTCAATAATAAAACTGGAGTCAAGTTAATTAGTGAATTTAGTATAGTAAGCAATAATGTTCTTCTGGTTAATGAATGTTGATACAGAATGGAGACGCTTAGCAGGGAACACATATCCTATGAATGTTTTGTTTTGTGGGCGAACAGTTGTTAAGAGCCAAATATGCTTTTGTAAGAACCCATGAGGAGATTTTTAAATTTACTTTTGGCTAAAATGATATGAATATTTACTTTACTGTTAAATATAAAAAAAAGAAAAGTGTTTGGAGTAAAATTTACCCAGTAAGAAATTACAGTGGTGGTTTTATTACATTTTCACAATGCATTTTTAGAATAAATTAGCTGTTATTTTAAGATCTTTGGCAAACTTTAAAACCTGTCTCAGCTTTTTAGTTTTAGTAGGATTTCCAAAAAAAGCTTCAGATAGATTTATTTACAGAAAGCAGAGTAAATTGAAATAACAATCTAATGGAATATTTCTTTTTAGGTGGTAATAAATGGAGGTGCCACACCAAGTGGTGAACAGGACAATGAAGATACTGAGCTAATGGCTATCTATACCACAGAAAATGGCATAGCTGAAAAGGTATTGTTTTTCTCTTGTATGAGAAACCTTTGTTCTTCCGTAGCAAAGCAGATTTCTTGAATTTGGTTGATAATTACTTCATTTCTTCATCTTTTTTCTTTGTCTCTTCCTTTTAACTTCTCTGTTAAATATACTCACACATGTTACTTTTTTTACATATTTCAAATCTGACCAGAAATAGAATAAAAAAATACTAACTTTGGGGCTCATTTTTCTTTGTAGGTGGTGCATCTTACTGCTGTTTAAGCCATTTGCTAGTTGATCTCCTTGTTGAAAAATATCACATGTATCCAAAATTTTCTTTTGAAAAGGAGCAGAAGATTTTTGAGTCAGGAAAACCTGAATTTGAATCCTGCCTCATAAATTCATTGATGTGTATCCATGGGGCAAGTCACTTAAGCGCTATGTGTTTCATTTTCCTCCTATGTAAAATAGGGAGGGAATGCCTGTATTACTTAATCTCACATGGTTATTGTTAAACAAGTAAGATAATGTATGGGAATCATTTTGCAAACATTAAAGCTATATATAAATGTCAACGATTATTACTAAGGGAATAGCTCTAAAGCAGTACACAAGGGTGCTGATGCTGCCCTTTTATTTAATTTTCTGCTAAGGATTTTCATTTTACTCTAATTTTAAAATAGAATGTGTAGTATGAAATTAATTTTGCTTAACAAAAACAATTCATTAAAATTAACTTCTACAAACATATATTGAACATACATCCAAAACTTTTCCACTAAAATATATGTGTGTGTACACACACACACACACACAACACACACACACACACTCACTCAGTAATATACACATAACGGTAGCAACTTGTCATTTATCCTACATACTCTTTAGGTTTCCTTGTTTGTCCATTTGTATATGGATAAATAGATATATTTTTATTTATCAAGTATAGAAGTGTGATTGCATAGGGTGCTAGTTTGGAGTTTGAATCCTAATATTTCACTTGCTGTTTGTGTGAGCATCATCAATTATAAAATGGAAATCACAGTAATTGTACAAATTCCTTCACAGGGCTATGAGGTAGGTGCTCAGCAAACTTTGAAAAGCTATCTGTCTCTGTCAAAGTAGCTTTTCTACTTTGATACATTGATGAAACCACAATCTTATCTGTGTGGATACTCTACCCAGATGGGCAATTTGTAAAGTGATCCATTCCTTATTGTCCTACGTGGTTTTTGTCCATGTTCTTCCATAGATCCTTCATTTCCTTTTTTAGTTGTTATTTTTTTCAAACTGGGTCTCTCCATCATGCCCAGGTTGTAAGTGCAGTGGCTAATCATTGGCCTAATCCCACTATTAATTAACATGGGAGTTTTGATATGCTTTGTTTCTTTTCTGGGCCAGTTTGGTCCTACAAAAGTAACCTCATACTCTGCTTGTCGGGACTCACCCATATTGATGCCTAACTTAGTGTGAGCATCCAGTCAGCTTAGAACTCCCAAGCTGAAGCTATCCTCCAGTCTCAAGTCTCCCTGGTAAGCAGGGATTACAGGCACACACCCCATGCCCCAACACAGATCTTTTATTGAAGATGTTGTAAGCATGCTGGTGATCTTTTCCTGGGCTTTTTAATGTTTCATGACTATCAGTACAGTTAGCGCTTAAACTGTCCCATCTGCTATCATCTATTTCCGTAGCATGCTTAGAAAATGTTTTTCTCCAAATTAGCCAAAAATGTAGGTAGTCAAAGTAATTGTTTCATCATTTTTGAATGGGGAAAGAGTCACATAGTTTCTGAGCTAGGATTCGAACCCAAGTGCTCTTTACAGTGCACCACATGGATTTTTGTGGGTTTGTTACCCACAAGTGTATTTCTCTAAGTTGTTTTTTAGTCCTGTGCTCTTTTTGCCATTCTAAACTGTTCATTGCTCTTGGTATTTTCACTATGGTTACTACACAGTTCAACTTATGTGTTGCCATTGCAAGTTGTATGCCATTGACCCCAAACCAGGGAAGTGGGTTCAGAACCTTTAAGTGGGTTAAAATTGTTTATCTACTTTCCAGAGAAAGTTTTCCAGATATAGTAAATACATTGTCACCCTGAGATGGTAAGGTAAGGGTTGGCTCTTATATATGATCTTCCCTTGGGTAATTGTGGATTGATTTGATATTTGATAGTAACATTTAAAGTCATGGGTTTTATTTTATTTTATTGCTGCTTTTTTGGGTAGTCAAATGGTAACTTTTAAACTTTTGCCACTTTAACCCAAAATAAAGGTTTTATTTTTTCAAAATGCTAATTAGTCACTTCTTTCATTCTACAGAGTTCTCTTGCAGAGACATTGGACAGCACTGGAAGTTTAGATCCCCAGAGAACAGATATGATTTATACAATAGAAGATGTACCTCCCTGGTATCTCTGTATATTCTTAGGGCTACAGGTAAGATTCTTAAATATGGTTAGAAATTAGTACCACTATTCACTTCTTAAATGTTTTCATTTTCTGTTGTCATAAAATTCTGCTTTGATTTATTTATTAGTGTATGTATTCTAAATTTTTGCTTAATTTAATTAGGCATGCCAAAATTTTTTATAAAATGGCAAATTTCTTACATTTATGGTGGAAGGATGGAAAAGCTGGAGGAAGAAAGGAAGAGAATGTAAAGAAAGTATAGGGATGCAAGGCAAATAATAAAAAGGGAAGGAAAAGAAACGTAGCTGAGAAGAGTGTAGAAAAGAAAATGAAGCAGCAAAGAAAAGTGACTTTCCAACCTCCCCTATGAGGTCTGCATTTATCAGTAAGTTGCTTCTTTCATTGGCCTTGCTACAGATTCATTTCTCATTAACCTCACAATTCTACTGCTTCTAAGAAGAAAAAAAGGTGGTGGAGCAGGATGCTTAGATGATGTAGGGTAAGGGTTTGATAGTCAAAATGAGCAAAATTTGTTTTTGCTACCTTCCCTTTTCCCAAATACTCCATTCTAAAATTATTGCTCTTTCTTTCCTCTATTCATCATCACAAAAAATATCAGAACTTCAAAAATTGCACAGGATTTTCCTAGAAGTAGGCAGATTCCTTTCTTTTTGCAATGATAGTAGTAGTATTTTTTTAGCTTTTTACAAATTCTAATCTCTGTTCTGAAGCAAAGTCCATGGTCTGACTATGCACAGATAACTGATTCAGGGGTAGTTCCTACATTACTAAAGAGTTTTCTGATGACTAAAATAGATTTAATTTCATTTTTTGGTGATTTGATTTGGTTCTTGTATTGTCCCTTTCTTCTCATAGAAAAAGGGCAGTGTTTAAGTCTTTTGCTTCTTCAATTCCTCCTTCCTAACCCATGCTTTCCCAAATATTCCTTGTTGTCCTTATCTTTTTCCACTTTTATACTGAAGGTCAGTCAGAGTGTACATACTATATATTAATTTAAGTTGGTGGGTCTTATTGAACTCCTTGTAGAATTTTCTACCATTTCATTCTTTGCAACTCCATTCTGGAAGAAAGAATAATGGGGAAAAAATGGCATACAGTTGGAATAACTGAATGATGAACTCTTTAAACGTGATATTGAAAAATGGGAATCACATTGACATTTATCGTCAAAGAATCATGGCTGTAGGAGTTGGAAGGGGCCTTAGATGCCATCACATCTAACTCCCTCATTTTATAGATAAGGAAACTGAAGTTTAGAGAGATTTAAGTGACTTGCTTCATTCAGCTATAAGAGTTGGAGGCAGGATTTGATCTCATGTCTTCCTGATTGAATGTGCAGGACTCTGTACACCACTCAACTTAAGTTTATACAGGAGTTTAATAGAGTAGATCAATTGCCACAACATGAATACCAAAAAACTCAGCCCTGTTAAGTCAACAAACATTTGGTTCATTTGCTGGATGAAGAGGGATGAATGTCAAAGGTAATGTTGGTTTAGAATGTAAACACATTTATCAGATCTTACAGAAAAGATGATGGATGATTCTGATCATCATTTGACTTATAGAGCAGAGAAAAGAAGTGGAAGATAAAACTACTTTAAGGAAAACTTGGGCGAGACATCCAACTAACCGTAGTTATCCTGTGAGAATATTTAAGGATGAAAGTAGAAGGATGATAATAAACAAAATAAAAATGGAAAAGATCTGCAAAGATTTGTTATAACTTTTTTTTTTTTTTTTTTTTTGGTATCAAGGATAGTAGAGCCGCTGTCCTGGTTGTGCTTAGAAGGGAAGTAGAAAAGGCTCCAAAGAGACCCACAGTTGGTGAAGGAGCAAGTGTCTATGTTGATGATACATTCTGCTGGTGACAGTTGTGAGGAACTTGAGGGAGTGATACACATGGTGTGTGAAAGCTGGGAAGACACCACAGGGGCTGTGGGGAAAATTTTATATACCTCAAGTAATACTAGGAAAAGATGACCAAGAGAATGTCAAAAACTACTGAGATGTGTGCCTACTTTCCCATCTATGCAAAGTATTTGTGTCATTTATATAGAAAGCCAGTGAATCTTTGATGAGGTTATTAGTAGGGAAAACCAAGCTTTTGCAAGCAATATTTAACACTGGACCATATTTTACTATTTTGCAATTGATAGAAGGATGTAGAGAATATGCTATCCTATTATGTGTGTTGGTTATGAAAAAGCATTTGTTTCAGTAAAGTAAAATAATACTTTAAAGGCTGTCTTCCAGTAGGGTATTTCCCATGAATTCATTAAAGGAAAAACAATTTATTAAGTGTTTACTGTGTGCTATAAGCATTGTGCGAAGTGCTTTGGATAAAAATAGAAAAATCAAAACAGTCCCTTCTCTCAAGGAGTTTATACTTCAATTGGGGAAGATAAGATATAAAAGAAAGTACTGCTGTAGGGCAGGTGGAAAGATCTGGAAGTCCTAGGGATATTGCAGGATGGCAGGGCCCTGAAGTCCTTAGATCACGTAGGTAAAATGATAGTGTATCTTTTCGTCTCCCCCTAAGCTCTCTTTTCTCCCTCCCCAGTCATAAATCATCTTCTCTAGTCCTGTGTATATGCTGTTTGATTCCTCCAAACATACTGAACCAGAAGGGGTTACTGAGGCACAAAGAATAACTTGCCTGTTGTTCCATAAATGGTTATTGTTAACTTTGTGGCAATCTTTTACAGGAACATATTTTTCAAATTTTCCTCTCCACCTTTTTTTGGGGGGGGAAATGTTACTGGAAGGTTACTTAGATGTCATTTGTTTTACAAAAACACAAGAAAATCTGCATTGTTAACCTAGTTTAAACATCCTCTAATAGTATAATCAAAAATCAAAACTTTGAAAGGAATTAGCCCTAGATTATTTTTAAATTAGAGTTGGGACAGGGAGTTAAGCCAGAATTATAAAACTGAAGTGGTGTGTGTGTGTATGTGATGTGTATATGTATTTTTTTTTAAACAATCTTTGTCTTTCTGTTGTCTATAGCACTATCTGACCTGTTTCAGTGGTACCATAGCAGTGCCCTTCTTACTAGCTGATGCTATGTGTGTTGGATATGACCAGTGGGCTACAAGTCAGCTTATTGGGACCATATTCTTCTGTGTGGGAATCACAACTTTGTTACAGACAACTTTTGGATGCAGGTAAGATATGGGATGTTAAGCTGCTCCAATTAAAAACTAGTCATTGCAACATAAGACTATGATGATGTTTGTATGTATAGCTTTATGAAATGTGTACTGTGGCCCTGTTTATGATCATATGCTATGGAGCTATCATGAAACATTAGGTTGCCAAATATTGACTCAAAATTGGCCTAAGCAAGTGGCAAGGTAGCTTGATTGGATAGCTTAGACACTGGGAAAAGAGTATCCAGAGAAGTTATAAAGATGCATTTCTATGTAGGACCCAGAGTACTATCATACTTCTATGACCTGTGATCTTTTTTTTTTTTTAAATATTTAATTAATTAATTTATTTTAGTTTTCAACATTCACTTCCATAAGACTTTGAATTCCAAATTTTCTCTCCATCTCTCCCCTCCCCCTACCCCAAGATGGCATGCAATTTGATGTAAGCTCTACATATACATTCATATATTCACATTAGTCATGTTGTAAAGAAGAATTAGAACCAATGGGTGAAACCACAAGAAAGAAAAAACAAACCAAAAAAGAAAAAAAGAGAGAGAGAGTAAATAATATGCTTCAATTTGCATTCAGACTCCATAGTTCTTTTCTGAATGTAGATAGCATTTTTCGTCATGAGTCCTTTGGAGTTGTCTTGGATCCTTGCATTGCTAAGAAGAGATACATCTATCAAAGTTAGTCATTGCACATTGTAGCTGTTACTGTGTACAGTGTTCTCCTGGTTCTGCTCATTTCACTAAGCATCAGTTCATTCAAGTCTTTCGAGGTTTTTCTGAAGTCTGCCTGCTCATCATTTCTTATAGTACAAAGTATTCCATTACATTTATATACCACAACTTGTTTAGTCATTCTCCAGTTGATAGACATCCCCTCAATTTCCAATTCTTTGCCACCACAAGAAGAGCTACTATAAATATTTTGTACATGTGAGTCCTTTTCCCATTTGTGTGATCTCTTTGGGATACAGACCTAGAAGTGGTATTGCTGAGTCAAAATATGTGCAGTTTTGTAGCCCTTTGGGCATAGTACCAAATTGCTCTCCAGAATGGTTGGATCAGTTCATAGCTCAACCAACAATGCATTAGTTATGGCCTGTGATCTTAAATAGAACCTCTGCTGGCTAAGGCAGTTCAGTAATATGGCTAGTTCTACCACTACCTTTGTAAAAGCAGCTGAGCTTTAGCACTTTTGGAGATGAATCTTGTTTCATGTCTTTATACAGAAACTGAGAGATCTGTGGACAGTCTCAGAAATTTGTGTGTGTATGCATGTCATCTGTGTTCTGATTCCATGAGTTTTTTGTATGACAAAATTGTAGTGTTATAGAGACTGTACTTTTGAGTGTTAGTTTTTCAGGGAGGGTCACCACCAGGCCTTGACTCAAGCGTCACCTTAGTGTAGCATTTAGCAGAGTTCCATTAATGACAAAGGCCTAAAAAATGAGGAAGGAAAAGCTCGGGCTCTGACCGACCTCTGTATTCTCCTCCTGCCTACTCAGTAATTGTATCAAAGGGGATGTATACCCAAGTGGGAAATGGGTTGGGTTAGTGGTTAAGGGAGTAGTTGAGATGAAGGAGAAAATTGTGTTGGATCACGACACTCTCCTGCTCCACAGCCTCTGTGGCTGGCATTTAAAACTTTGCCCATTCTGACTCTGTCCTGCCTTTCCAGGCTCATACCTTTATATGCTTTATTTATCCTGGACTGCCAGCTATACCCTGATCTCACCCTGTACCCCTTATCCCGGTGCATCCACCCAGAATCACCATCTTTGGGAGTCCGCTTCTTTGTCCAGGGCTCAGATCAGCTGTGACTTTGTCTATGAAGTTTTTTGCCAACTAAGCAATCTCTTTCCTCTCAGATTTTTCTAAAGCATCTTGGTATCTCCATTTGTTCTTTACCCTTCTCTTTAATCATCTATAGACAGACCTCATTTAGTGTGAATGAATCCCACTTCATGGGAGTCATTAGTATTTAAATTCTCATTATTCAGAGTTAAAGTTTTGTAAAATGTGGTCATTGATTATATCCCAACAGAAATATGCAGTATGAATTTGAAAAATGAGACCACTTCATAGGTTTCATTTTTCATTCATCATCCCCATAGTGGAAGGAACATTGGTTTTAAAGTAAGAGAATCTGGGTTCACATCCTGCCTCTCATAATTAATATTTCTTGTGACTGTAGCCAAGTCACTTAACCTCTCTGTGTCTCAGTTTTCTCATCTTTAAAATGAGGTGGTCTGACTAGTTCAGACCCCTTGGTTTCTGGATTGGTTTTATTGTGTCCATGAACTTGGACAGGAAAAAAAAATTACATCTTTATTTTCACCAACCTCTAACCGAGATTTAGCTATCTGATCTGGTTTTCTTCTATTTTTTAATGGTATAATAATTCAGATAGTATAGCTATTTTTAGTTTATTGTGGCATATAATGTAAGGTATTAGTCCAAATCTAATTTCTGCCAATCTTCTTATGTTAAATAGGGAATTATTTTCTAGGTACTTTGTGTTCTTGGATTTATCAAATACTGGATTAATGAGTTCAGTCCTTCCTAATTCTTATCTGTTCTGTTTTGCCAAATTTCTTTTCAAATACTATGTATAAATTTTATTGGAGTTATATATAGAGTCATAGATTTTAATATTACAAGGTAACTCAAGATATAGGCTGTCTTTCTAACAATTTGTTGTCCAGAAGTGGAATAGCCTGCCTTAGCTAGTGGGCTTCCTCTCATGACCACTTACTTGCTATTATTATGGTGAGGATTCTTTTTCAGGTATGAATTCAACCGGGTGGCTACAGGGAGCTCTTCCACCTCTTAAATTCTGTGATTCTAAGAGGGCCTTGGACTGTGAGATCTCTCTGGTTCTTTCTGGCTCTAAGTCTTATAAGAAATGAGGGAAGTGGTATGTAGCACAGTCTCCCTGAAGGAGAAAGGAAGGTGATCAGGAAGAAATTTGGGTCAAACATTTACCTGCACTGTCAGACAGATGACAGTACAGTAGGATTTGCTTGGCTTGACCCCAGCCAGTAACATTCATTCAGGTATGACCCCTTTGCATGTTGGGTATTCTTAGCTCTGTGAGTGCCTCTAGTTTCATATGTTCTTTCCCAAGGAATATATGCTTAGTTAGGATTTTTAGAAGATAAATTTTGAGTCATACTGTTATTTGTTTAAGTTTTTAGTATTATGATTATGGTTTTGTTTTCATTTCTTTTAGGTTACCTCTATTTCAGGCCAGTGCTTTTGCATTTTTGGCCCCAGCTCGAGCTATTTTGTCTCTGGATAAATGGAAATGTAATACTACAGGTAACTTACTGTTATTTCAAAATATATAATTTGTACCCTCTGAACTAAGTAATAAAAAAGGCAATATTGACTTGCAGCACTTTTATTCTTAGCATATTTTTTTCCTTTCTCTTCTTGCCTACCAATTCTCAGGTCCTAGAAATGTGTTTTTTTCATGAAATGAATAAATACTATTGAATGTACCCATAAAATGAGATCTCCATTTTGAAAGGGGAAAAAATTATATGTTTAAAACTTACATAGAATCACGATATATGAAATATTTACTGTAAATACTTTAACTTCAGATAAAATACTTTAGTAATTTTATCACCACTTTTTTCTTTGTCTTAGTCATTTCCATTTTTATTCTCTTAAGAGTGTAATTTACCTATGACTCAGGTTTTCTGTACAAGTAGATTTAGGAAAAGGTACAGTTAGATCAGAGTGCCCGTATGTGTGTGTGTGTGTGTGTGTGTGTGTGTGTGTGTGTGTGTGTGTGT